ATTTATACTGTATCTCCCTGCATCCTGCTTCCCCTCACTCTTCAGCCATGCTGACCACCTTTATAGCTCCTTTTTCCAGTCACCAAGAAACTTCTTCCCCTAGGGAGGGAGGGAGGGAGGGAGGGGGAGAGAGAGAGAGAGAGAGAGAGAGAGAGAGAGAGAGAGAGAGAGAGAGAGGAATGAAGAAAGAACGAAAGAACAAAAGGAAGAAACATTGATGATGACCAACAAAGAGAAACACAAATGAGGCTATTTGGTTTTTTAAAAATTTACTAGTGGGGCTGTTTTTACTTTGGGGAGGTGGTGGTTTCAGTTCCTTGAGTTTTAACACATAACCAATACCAAAAATTAAATTATATTCCTTTATGCAATTAAATTATAATCCCTTACACAACCGATTGAGGTTCAGACATTTTTAAAAAGAAAGAAAAGATGATAGACACAGACAGGAAGGAAGGAAGGAAGGAAGGAAGGAAGGAAGGAAGGAAGGAAGGAAGGGAGGAAGGGAGGGAGGGAGGGAGGGAGGGAGGGAGGGAGGGAAGGAAGGAAGAAAGTCTTCTGATGCTCCTGTCATCAAACACATCTTCTATCCTAGCACCAGGCAAGGAGTGATCTGTTCTTGTTTACTTGTTTGTTTTGGGTTTTTGGAGGTTTCTTGTTTGTTTTGTTGGTTGTGGGGCTTGAACTCTGGACTTGGGCACTGTCCCTCAGCTCTTCAGCTCAAGGCTAGGGCTCTACCACTTGAGCCACAGCACCACTTCTGGTTTCCTGGTAGTTAATTGGAGGTAAGAGTCTTACGGACTTTTCCTACCTGGGCTGGCTTTGAACCTCAATCCTCAGATCTCAGCCTCCTGAGTAGCTAGGATTATAGGCATGAACCACCAGCACCCAGTAGGTTTTTGTTTTTGAGACAGGATTTCATTACGTAGCCAAGGCTGACTTCAAAATCCAGATCCTCCTGTCTTGACCTCCGAAGTGCTAGGATTATAAGGATACACTATAACACCCAACTTGATATGTTTTTGTCCAATTGTTTTGCTTTTTCCTAGTATCTATATTCTGAGTCGTTTTCTTCACCCATGAAGTTTACATACTCTCTCTCTCTTACTCTCTCCCTCTCCCACCCTCCGCTTCTCTCTCTCTCTCTCTCTCTCTCTCACACACACACACTCTCTCTTTCTCTCTCCCTCTCCCTCCCTCCCCTGCTCTCTCTCTCTGACTCTGTCTGTCTGTCTGTCTGTCTTTCTCTCTCTCTCTCTCTCTCTCTCTCTCTCTCTCTCACACACACACACACACACATACACACACACATAGACATACCATCTTCACATTAAAATATTTTAAACTTTTGATGGTTTGTTTATACAGGGTCTCACCCTATAGTTCAGGATGGCCTAGAACTTATGATCCTCCCATCTCAGATTGGCTTTACATTAAATATTAAGCTATTGGGCTGGGAAGGTGGCTCATGCTTGCATGCTTGAGGCCCTGGGTTCGATTCCTCAGTACCACATAAGCAAAAAGAAAAAGACCAGAGTGGCGCTGTGGCACAAGTGGTAGAGCACTAGCCTTGAGCTGAAGAGCTGAGGAGCAGCGCCCAGGCCCAGAGTTCAGTTTTTATTTTTGGACCCAAAAATAAAAAATAAAATAAAATATTAAGCTATTTAAGATGACTATTTAGATGACTAGGGTTATAGTTCAGTGAGCATTTGCCTAACATGCACAAGGCCCTGATTTCAATCCCCAGCACCAAAACAGACACACACACACAAAAGATGCCTGCCTACTATATACCAGTAAATCTGGTATGTGACACACAACCATTCTACAGCTTATTTAGAAAAGGCATTTTCTTAGTCAACTAATATTCACTTTTGCAATTCTGAATGTTGAATTTCTGATCTCAAAAATAGCTGCTTCAGCTCAATATTTGCATGTTTTCTTGGTATACAAGTACTTTGTTCACTTCTACAAAGCCATGAGCTCCAAAATGTCCTTTAACCTCTCCTAGTGATTGTCCTTCCTCAATATACCACATTACAATAGCACATTTTTTTTTCTTTTAGCAATCTTTGCTAGGAGGTTTCCAAGAGTATTCTAGCATCATTCTATTTACATGCACAACTTTATCTCTGAATGTCTATAGGCAATACTGGTGACATTTATTAAATCAACATGTCAGCAACTGTAGAGGCAAACCTCACTTTCACCTGGATAGACAATCTAACTATTAAGAAGTTCACTGCCAACTGAGCATGAGAATACACAACTAATTGCAGTTCTCAAGAGGTAGGATATGAGGTAGGATATGAGGTTGGGATATGTAGTGAAATCCTACCTTTAAAAAAGCTCACAGCTGTTCCAGACACTGGTGGCTCACATCTGTAATCCTCGCTACTCAGGAGGCTGAGATTTGAGGATCAAAGTTCCAAGCCAGCTAAGGCAGAAAAGTCCATGAGAAACATCTCCAATTAATCACCAAAAAGCTGAAGTGGTAGAGCACTAGCCTTGAGCAAAAAAGCTCAGAAATAGTGGCAAGACTCTTGAGTTTAAGCTCTAGGGCCAGTACACACACACATTTACACAGGCATACAAACAAGGATAAATGCTAGTACATCTCAAGAATTAAATAACATTAAAAGAAAAGAAAATCAACTACACAAAGCTATGCCAAGTTTGACAGCAGTTTCCACAATAAGGTATTGATGTGTTAGTCATCAAATGTGACATAGCCTATTTAAAAAAAAGGGGGGGGGGCTGGGAAGGTGGCTCAGTGGTAGAGCGCTTGCCTTGTATGCCTGAGGCCCTGGGTTCGATTCCTTAGCACCACATAAGAAAAAAAGAAAAAAGCTGGAAGTGGCGCTGTGGCTCAAGTGGTAGAGCACTAGCCTTGAGCCAAAGAGCTGAGGGACAGCACCCAGGCCCAGAGTTCAGGCCCCACGACCGGACCCCCCAAAAAGTAAAAATAAAAATAAAAACTCACTACTACATTGCTCTTTTCAAGCTCCCTAAAAAACTCCATGTTAGCAATTATAGTGATCGCTCTCAACCACATTTTAACTTTTTAGCAGCATTTATTACAAAGGTGGTCTCCCATTATTTGGTACCACTTCTTTTCCTTGCTTGAAATTTTCTTGGTTATCCTCCTATGCTACCAGCTATTTTCATTACCCTCTTTTAGGACTGATAATTTCAAATTTATATTTCCAGTCTGATCTTAAATTGGGGCTGGGAAGGTGGCTTAGTGGTAGAGTGCTGGCCTTGCATGCATGAGGGTTCAATTCCTCAGCACCACATAAGCAGAAAAAAAAAAGCTGGAAGGGGCACTGTGGCTCAAGTGGTAGAGTGCTAGCCTTGAGCTGAAGAGCTGAGGGACAGTGCCCAGGCCCAGAATTCAGGCCCCACGGCTGACAAAAAAAAAAAAAAGAAAGAAAAAAAAATCCTTCTTAAGTGTATCAGTCTTATCTTCATAGAAAATCACACTTCCAATTCCCTACCCAGATCTTCTTTTTCTGCAGCCTTCCCTTCTCAGGATGGGTACTTTACCCTTCTAATGCCTCTTTTTCATTCCAAATATCCATTCTATCACTAAGTCCTATTCAGTCTGTGCGAAAAATATATCCAAAATCTGACCAGTCTCATCACTTGGCTGCTCCATTATCTTCTCTCAATATTTTTGCAAATATCCTGAATGGTCTCCTCTATCCCAACCTTGTAATTTCCATTCTCACACTCCCCACACCACACTGCAGCCAGAGATCTTTTATTTGCCTTTTCCTTTTCTTTTTCCTTTTCCTTTCTTCCTTCATTTTGTGCTACTGGGGATTGAACCCAAGGCCGTGAGATCCTTTTAAAGGATTCTAAGACTATTTACTTGTAAGGTCTGCACAGGGACACCTCCCTACCTCTTGGCTAAGTTTCTGCCCAATATCTGTTACCTAGGTAACTGGCAGACCTGGAAGTAGTCACCTTCCTCTCCAGCTAGGTCACATCCTGGGCCAACACTAGTCACAGGCCTCCCATCTATCATAGGTGGTTCCCAGACCCTGAGGTCACATCCAGAACCAGAATGGCTACACCTTCCCCCCACCTGGCCACACCTGTTCCAGTCCCTGGCCTAGATAAGTCCTGGACCAGGGGTGGGTCACCCCAGTTTGCTTTTCAGCCATGCCTCTCCACCATGTGCGGCAGGTGGAGTAAATGAACTTTTTCTCCTGCCTGAATAGCGCGTGGTCTTCTCTTCATGGACTACCTAATGAAACCTACCTACTTAATGTACCTTACATTACTGAAATTGTATGTTAGGCCCTGTTAAAGATTGCTGCCCTCATGATTTTTTTGCATCCTAGAAGGGGATAAACAATAAACCAAAAATATAATAAATGAATGACAGCTGGTCTGTAAGTTCTATGGGAAAAAAAATTGAGATGAGTAAGAAGAAACAGCATCAGAAAATAGGGTTGAGTTGTAAACTGAAATAGGTCTAGGGGCTTCCCGAGCAAAGCAACATCTGACATGCAAATATCTAGGGGATGAGCATTCTTGGCAAAAAGATGTTAACATTAAGTCTCTTATAAAACATATTTTTTAGTTTATACATTTTACTGACCACAATAATGTGTTGAAAGATACAATATTTTAAACTCATTACTTTTGTCTAAAGATCACTTGTATCTTAGTTTCCTAAGTATGTTCCTAATAAGCCACAAGAGCTTAGAAATGATCAATTTAGTAAAGTATTAGAAACCATTCATACAAGCAATAGTCAGGGAAAAAGTACATTCAACATGAGAGATGAGCTAGCTTTATCTTGCTTAAAATATACACATTTTTCAAATATAAATACAGACTAATTTGTCATACTAAGCCAGTTATAAAACTAATGATAAGCAAGGTCATCAGATTTATTAACACAATAAATTTAGTACAGAAGTATGGATTTTTAAAAGCTTGTTAGTTTCCACCTAATTGGGTGAGACTAGCACAATGTTTGTTTTTACCTTCCGGTGGTCTGTTGGATGTTGCCACAACGACGACCCCATTTTTGAACAGATTTTCAAAAAGCTGTTTCAGAATCATGGCATCAGCAATGTCAGTGACCTATGGACAACAACATATTTGTTTTATTTTAATTTCACTTCTGCTCTAACATATTTGTTAATGGTTCATCTTTTTTTAAAAGATGGAAGTGAATTCCAAGAGAAAGTCTAATTATCATCATGAAGAAGAAAGTAGATAATTAAAAGCATGAAAGACCATGTAACAGTCCTTTAAACTTGACTCTTCTTTGCAAGCCTATAATTTCTAGGCAAATTATCAAATGGTTTTATGTTAACTTCTTTTATAGAACTACAGGTGGAAAGCATAGATAACTGTCCTAAACATAAGAGAATCTAATAAATTAGAATATGACCAACTCACTCTGTTTACTGTCATTTGCCCCTCCCTCCAAAAAAAATAAAGGAGACAAAAAAATAAGAATATTAAAATACATAGGTTGTTTACGATTTCTAATACCTTTCTGGCAAAGGTCCCTGGAAAGGTGACTTTAAATGGTCATGAGACTTTAGAAATAAGGACAAGTAGCCAGTGAGACATAATCAGCTGCTGTTGAAAATAGAATGATATGACATAGATACTATTGTGCAATTGTTGCACAAAACAATTCAACAGATGGCCCATCACAAAAATAAGCGATTTCATTGTTCTTTGTAAGTGCCTTCTATTACTGTCCATGAATAATCAAAAGGCACTGCAGTCACTTCCAGCACAGCCAGCCTCTGCTAACCTTCACAAACACAAATACTCCTTCGAAAAGAAAAGGGAAAAAAAATCCTTTACAAGAACAGTTAATACAATGCTTTTTTTTTTTTTTTAAAGGAGACTTCTGACAAAGCTAGCATAATGGACATAAAACTATTCGGTCTAAATTAGGTTAAGAAAAATATAACTATTGATCTTTTCTAAAATTATTTTAAAAATTCATGATTGCAAAGTAAACTTAGTGATAACTTCTTAGAAAAGCTTTTAAAATTTGAAAAGATAGCCAAAAATTGAAATTATCTTTAAAAGCCAATGTAGAATAGTTTTATGTTAACTTCTTCTATAGAATTACAGTAGAAAGAATAGATAGGTGTCCTAACCATTAAAGAAGATTGATTAATGAGAACATGACCAACTCACTATGCCTACTGCCATTTGTCCCTCCCCTCCCAAATAACAGAGGAGGCAAAAAAATAATAAGACAAGAATATTAAAATACAAAGACTGTTTACAATCATTGAGGGAAGTTCCCCTAAGAATATAACATATTTTCTATATTCCCAGTGCTAAAAAAAAATGTTTTGCAGTTTCTTTGAAAATACCTTTCAAATAATCTCAAATAAAACTTGTTTTATATAATACTAGCTAAATATATCACATTATTATTTTAAAACCCTTTTAAAGAACATAGAACCTGGAATTCTTTCAATTTGACCAAAATACTAAAAGTTACCAACTAATCAGTTACAACGTAACTATAACCTATATTGAATAGATCTAAGTTACTTTTCTCTTTATAGGTGATATCTAACTCAAACATTTATTGATTTCTTTACCACCAGAACAAAACAAAATCAGGAAAGAAGGATATAGGTGCCCTCCCCCCTACCCACCCAATCTTGGGCTGTAACTTGAAAGCATATTAACTTTAAAAAATGAGTGAAGATCCTTAAAATTGAAGACTTTAGGAACTTCAAAAGTGGAGATTAAATGAAAAGGAAAGTGGTGCAGATATTATTTAATTTGGAGCTTAGGATCATTGTCAAATTTTGCTTCCGCAAAATCACTCACAAAGAAGTTCCTTTTCAAATGCTCAAACACCAGTGGCATTTCTGATGAGGGAACAGAACAAGCTTACAAATGTTAGTAGCAACTGCACTTTTAAAATAGATTTAAAATCCAATTTAAATTCCCAATACATTTACTTTTTAAATACAGGTTACTCAATTTAAGACAATAAAACAGTCATTTGCCTATATTTTCAAAAAAAATTAAAAATAGGTTTTGTTTCCTAAGGTTCAGAAAAGAGACATTTATCAGTATAACATGTGGAGGAGATGGGGACAAACAACAAACAAGTCGTTTAAGGATTCAGGTGGACCTGTTGCAACAATGAGAAGTACAAAATGTCATGTCAAAACCAGCTTTACAATGTCGGGGGGGGGGGGGGGGGGGGTGGGGGAGGGGGGGTATGATTGGGTGGGAGGGAGGGGGGAGGCTGGGAAGGGAGGTGAAGGGTAAACAAAGGAGGAGGCTGCAATGCTTGGTAAGAAATGTATGCATTATCCTGCCCATGTAATTGTAACCCCTCTGTACAGTATGTTCTCAAATAAAATTAAATTAAATTAAAAAAAAAAAAAAAAGAAGAAAAAAAAAAAAAAAGAAAAGAGACATTTAGCTTTTAAACATAATACAGAGGTTTAAACTGAAAACTGAAGGAAGCAAAGAGTAAGGGCTTGTGGCTGAGTTATACTTTGCTGCTTTAATACTATAGAATAATTTTGCCCTATCAGAGAATTAACTTGGAGAAGTTATGACTAATTAATAAAGCAGGAGTCACTTGCAGCAGCCGGGTGCCAATGTATACTCTTTTGATCTTGTCCCCGCACTAGTTCAGCTTTGCTGGGGAACAGTAATTTTACAGTGTAAGTGAACAGAAGACAATTGGCCCTACATTCTTGGAGAGCTGGCGTTTTTTAGCACCCAGCATTTCATTACCACCAGGAACAAAAGAGAAGGCTACAGATTACCAATAAGGGTAGTCTGCTAATAGAGTAGAGACATTTCATTAGCATTGAAGAGAAGAGATTTTTTTATGACCTAGAGTTGCTTTCCATTATGACTCACTTAAGTAAAAAGAAAAAAAAAAACCTAATGGTTAATTTACATGTGTAAGTGCCTGAGTCTCAGTCATCCACTGATTGGTACAGTGCCATGTAATGAGTGACAAACATAAGCATGCATTATCAGTAATTAGTATTAGCACAAAAATAAGCACCTAGTTTTTATTAGCAGTTTTTAATAGCTTCCCTGTTTTATAAAAACGGTTTAAAACTATTTTTCAAATGATATTGATAGCTTATAGAGGAGAATTTTGCATGATACTCTGCTCATTATAATGCTCTCTTTTCTTCTTTTTTCCTTTTTTATTATATCAGTGAAATATCTATTTAATATCCTAAAAAGAGACGTGAAGACATAAGTTTAAAATATATTTCCTCAGGTATTCTAATATCTTCAGAATAAATGGTTTACAACTAACATAAATATTCAAAAGAGGACATGATAAGTATCCTAAAGCAAACTTAGAGGATAAGCTATTTTTACAGCAACTAAATACATTATAAAAACAAAAAACAAATGAAATAACCTATTTCACTGGTCCATGGCTTAAGTATAAGGTTATAGCAGTATAAGGTCTTATTTCAAATCCTAGTATCATACATATGAATGCACACACATACACACACACAAGAAAGAAAGAAAGAAAGAAAGAAAGAAAGAAAGAAAGAAAGAAAGAAAGAAAGAAAGGAAGGAAGGAAGGAAGGAAGGAAGAAAGAAAGAAAGAAAGAAAGAAAGAAAGAAAGAAAGAAAGAAAGAAAGAAAGAAAGAAAGAAAGAAAGAAAGAAAGAAAGAGCCGGGCGCTGGTGGCTCATGCCTGTAATCCTAGCTACTCAGGAGGCTGAGATCTGAGGATCAAGGTTCAAAGCCAGCCCGGGCAGGAAAGACTGTGAGACTCCCATTTCCAATAAACCACCAGAAAACCGGAAGTGGTGATGTAGCTCAAGTGGTATAGTGCTAGCCTTGAGCTGAAGAGCTGAGGGACAGGGCCCAGGCCCAGAGTTCAAGCCCCATGACCAACAAAAAAAAAAAAAAAGAATTGTGCATCTCATATGACAAATAAGACTGAAATGACACACTTAGTAAAAATGAACAGGCTAGTAGAACATATATCCTACAAATGTAATCTAAATGCTACCAAACATAATCTTAAAAATTCCTATTTATAAGAATAGAGTGCCAGTGGCTCACTCCTATAATCCTAGCTACTCAGGAGACTGAGATCTAAGGATCAAGGTTCAAAGCCAGCCCGGGCAGTTTCCTGTCCATGAGACTCTTATCTCCAATTAACCACCAGAAAACTGGAAGTGGCACTGTGGCTAGAGGAAAGAACTTAAGAGGCCCCTCTCCTGTCCAGAAGACTGGGTTAAGAAAGGTACAGTTGGGCTGGGAAGGAGGCTCAGTGGTAGAGTGCTTGCCTGGCATGCATGAGGCCCTGGGTTCAATTCCTCAGCACCATATAAGCAGAAAAAGCTGGAAGTGGCTCTGTGTCTCAAGTTGTAGAGCACTAGCCTTGAGCTGAAGACCTCAGAGACAGTGTTCAGGCCTAGAGTTCAGGCCCTATGACCGACAGAAGGAAGGAAGGAAGGAAGGAAGGGAGGGAGGGAAGGAGGGAGGGAGGGAGGGAGGAAGGAAGGAAGGAAGGAAGGAAGGAAGGTGCAGTTGTATGTACATATTGTCCCAATTACTTGGAAGCTGAAGCAGGAGGATTGCAACATAGGGAGGCTGGTGTTAAAAAAAAAAAAAAAAAGGCGGGGCTGGGAATGTAGCTTAGTGGTAAAATGTGATAAACTAGTGATGGTATTCTGGAGGAACTCCTTTCAAACCAGCAGAAGATATTTCTGGACATTGAAATCAGGGAACTCTGGCTCTGTTTAGAGATCACATCATCTCTTAAGGGATATGTTCTTTTCCTTATATTCTTGCTTTCTGTGGCACCTCTCTGTCTCCCTCCCCTCCCCCCTCTCTGTCCTCCCCTCTCTCTCCCTCTTCCTCTTCCCCCTTCTCTCTCTCTGCCAGTCCTGTGGCTTTGAACTCAGGACCTGGGCTTTCCTGAGCTTCTTTTGCTCAAGGCTAGCACTCTACCACTTCAACCACAGTGCCACTTCCAGCTTTTTCTGTTTATGTGGTACTGAGGAATTGAAACAGGGCTTCATGCATGCTAGGCAAGCACTCTACTATCTGTGGCTCTTCTCAACACTGAGTATATGTACACA